AATCAGAAAGCAGCAGAAGAAAGTGTGGCAAACCAGCCTGTTCTCTAGAGTGGCCGAGACTATGAGACAGTGGCCCAAGAAGATAACCACCCCTGAATAATGCAAAGTAGAGAGTTCTCGAGGTGCTCCACACCTTCTGGCTCAGGAACCCATAGTGCTCACACACCACCTGCGACCCAGCTTTTGAGGTGTGGTGGATTTGTGATGTCATTCTTTAAACCCAAGTGAGTTAAGGAACCTAGGATCTGTTAAGGAGCTGTGCTCACTCCGTGTAGACATATGCTACCCTTCATTTGGCCAAATCCTTCCAAACTCCTACCATCTCTCATATTCACCACTTGGCCTTTTCAAAAAATTCACTGAGGATACCAATTCGTATTGATTACATTACATTTTCCGCTCCTTTACCAGAAGACAAGGGAAACAATAGAAGTTACAAACAAACCAGCATTTCCTGTTTAGGTCTAAGTTTTCAAAGGTCCATCTACTTCCTCCTAGCCCTTGAAGTGACCAGATAGTCACGTCTAGATGGATTTGCTGGAAGAAGCAGGATGACCGTGCCTTTGCAACGTTTATAAACAACAGGGCTAGGGAAGTGTTATTGTGGTAGAATGGGATGTCAAGAGGTTACTGTTGCCATAAGCTTGAAACATAAGTCACTTCACTAAAATAATATGAGGATGCAAAAGTGAAAAGTGACATACCCAACTCATGCATTGTGAATTGGTAGAAAAATCTTGGGCATTTTACTCAGTTTAGCACTTCAGAAAGGTTCAAACACTGTTATACTTTACATGATTGTCCAAACTGCAACTCTTGGAGGTCGATCCACACCTTATTTTTAATTGGAGATTATAATTTTCCACTTTCTCCTACAGTCACCTCTTATCTGACCAGTGCCCTTTTGCACTAGAAGTTTCTCTTTACCTTGAAAATCTGTTAGTGCAAAGGGAAAATTGGAAACCAGCTCAGAAAACTGTGATATTAACTAGTGATTTGCAGTTTACTTGCCCTGTTCCACTTGCCCTGTTCCATTTGCCCCTTTCTCTTTGTTTCCCCCTTCTCTTCATCAGCCCTGCAGAAGTATATGAAGATGGTGCACCATACTGATTGAGCTGGTAACACAAGCTACTATTGTCCTCCTTTTCTGGCTCATGGTGTTCCTGCAAAAAGCTTTACAGGGAAGTAAAATAAAAGCTAATCTTCAGTCTTGCAAAGTCTGACCTTTTAAAATCGAAAGCATGGACTTCAGGTTCCTTGTTCAAGGAGGGTAACATTAGTGGAATTTACAGATGTATTTTCTTCCTCTCCAAAATAAACCAGTCATTTCCCCTCTAAATAAATATTTGGGGGGGTCTCAGAAATGGGCTCTTTGTTTTAAAATCTGCAAGCAGTTATAATTTTGGGAATTGCTAAATATTTCCAAATGTGAAAATGCTTTTGCCACTTATGTTCTGTACAGGAAGGTGCCCTGCGTTTATTTTATTAATTTGTATGAGAAAAGCTATGACAAAAAAATTGCACTGGACAATTTAAGGACTGTTTATTTCCTAGAAAACCCTGTAATCTAGCCTTCACATGTGCAAACCTAAGCAGTCAGTGCAAGAGTGTGTACATCTCCGAGAATTTAGCTATGTTCTAATCCTTCTCAGGTCAAAGGATGATGCAGAAGCAGTATCTTAACTAGCAGGTTTAAATTGCAGATAGTGGGATATCACTGGGTGGATAAATAATTTGGAAGTATGTTACTATGAGTTTGACTATCTTAAGAAATGCAAAACAAACACAAAGCAAAACAGACTGAGAATCGTTTCCAGACCAACAGTGTCATTTTCATCTTAATCTAAAATGCAGAATTTTAACAGTTAACATTAAATTATCCACACAGTCTTAAGTGACTAATGGGTTAAAACTGGGCTGAATCATTTCCTGGGAAATGCTTTGTTTCCTGTCAGCACCTGTGGGAAGGTAGAAACAGTGCCAGTCCAACACTGTACCTGCCTTGTCTGCAAGCTGGGAGCAGCTCTGCATCGTTTGACCTAAATGCAATAGAAACATAAGCAAACCTCAAGGAAATTCCCACCCTCCTGCCATCTCTCCAGGTCACAATGTGCACAAATAGTATACAAAACAGATTTTAACTGCTAACATCACGGTGCTTAAGACAAGCAGAATGTTATGCCTCCTTCTGACACGATGACACTTTTTTTAGAATACTAACACAGGAGAGACCCCCCCCCCCCACCCCGTATGTCTAACATGTGGCGTTTACCCTGGATGGCATCTTTGAAAATGTTGTAGAGAGAAGGACAGTCAGTCTGGGAGAGATGTCACACCTTGCTGTGATGGGAGATGAAAGCTTGCTGGTGGCACTAGGCACTAGCACAGGATGTAGACCCAGCCCCCATGCAGAAATGAATTTTTTGAGTCTCAGGCACTCTACTAGTGATTTATGCACCATGTTAGATGAGTTCGTGCCACCTCTATGCTTCAGAATGCCTGTGCTGCAGGGCATAACAATCACTGAAATCAGTGGAACTACTAGAGGAGGAAGGTTTTGCGCTTAAGTAACACGGTAACATGGCACTAGCACTAATTGCTCTCTATGGCCTTGCAGGAAATCACAGACCACTTTGTGGGTTCAGTCATCCTAGATGATAGACAATAAACGTCTTTTGCAGAGAAACAGGGAAGACATAAAAGTATGCTGATGCACACACACCACAGGGCTGGCTCTGTCAAGGGGAATTCTACGTGATAGCAACGGACAGAGCTGCACACTCCACCCGCACAACGTTCACTTTTCAGCTGGAAATTCAGTGAGCTGGGGGCCCTCAGAGGGTTATTTAAAAAAACAAACAGAAGAGAACTGAGAGACAGAGGCCGCCCACTCCATGGCAGGATGCGAGCCTCTGAGGCAGGAATAAACTTACCGTAGCAGCTCCGCAGTATCCCCCATCCTGTTTTTCTTCACAGCCTTGCACCAGTGCATTCAGTTCTTTTGTGGAACTCTGTTCAAGTCACCTCACAGAAAAGCCAAAAGCAAGTCAAGAAATTCCAGTCTCCTCCAGGAGAATCAGGAGGATGCTGTGTTGCTGCTTTACCTTCCCTGCTCAGGGGGCAGGCTGTACAGTCAACTTAGAGCAGGCCTCTAAAGAAACACTGCGACGAGTATTTGTGTTGGGCCCAGGATTGCAGCAGCTGGGCCTTAAGCATGTTACAGTTCTGCAGGCAGCCTCACCATCAAACAAAAAAGAAGCTAGGCTCCAGACCCAAGGAGTCATTCGTTCACAAATGGCATCTGCATTTCTGGAAATAACTCAGGTTTGGATGCCCTACAGAAAAGGGCAGCAGCCAGGTTCACAATCCGTACAGCTGGGCTTGAGGAGATTCCTTCCCCCCCCCCATATTATCAAGGAAATTGTTTCATTTTCTAATGGAGAAGTTGTGCCATCACACAAACACCGGACAGGGAACTCTAATAACCATTACACACAAACTGGTGTTCCAGGCAAGTCCAAGGAAAGCCTCAGCCTCTCTAATAAGTATAATTTTAAATCCTGTTAACAATATACGTTAAAGAAAGAACAAGGTATGAATACAGCCTAAAGTCAAGAGTATCAAGGACTTTTTGATTAAACTACAGTTTGTATCTGACTGAGAGAAACCTCCTTCTTTAAAGGGATTATCTGAATGAGACTTAAGGGCCTTTTAAGCACTTCTAAATTGACACTTGCAACAATAATTAAAGTTCCTTAAAATAGATGTACCATGAAAAATGAGAAAGAATCGGCTGAATCAGCAGCTGAAACCTGGCTGAACAGAATATCAGGTGATTATGAGCTTCCCTGCAAGCTGAAGTGGTAAGAACTCATATCTACCCTCTTAATAGTGTTAAAACACTCTCTTTCTCTGGAATTGGTCATCTTTCTGTTTTCTGTTCCGATTCCTCTGAGAAGGATGTCAAAGGGTTTCAGGCTCTGCGGAAAACGTTCTTCTCCAGCCCTGGGTTTCCCAGAGACCTAAAGTCCTTCTCAGTGGGAAAAGAGCAGCTCCTGCTTATGACCATTCCTACGTCAATGACCAGTCTCGCCTAACTCCATAAATCTGCTTGGAGTTCTTAAAAAGCAAGGAACTGCATATCTCTGAAGGAAGAGATGTTTACCTAATGGTAAAAAAAAAAAAAACAAACTAAAAAAAAACCAAAATGAAACAAAGAAAACCTTTCTTATTATTTAATTTGCTGTTATAAATTCATACTGTCTAAAGTGAATGTGAGTAACTGTTACTGCCTTGTACCTTTCAGACTTAACAGTCAAAGAAAGAAAAAGTATGGATAGCTGTTTTTCTCTAGAACGGTACAAGGTACATTTTCTTTTACTGTGTATAAAGCACAGAGTACCAGTCCCACTTTTAGTGGCTGTTTGCTACACGCTATCACATTAACAAATCAGAACATCTCTGAATTACCAAACGTAAGAAACTCAATAACCTTGAAGAGATAATTTCTATATTGCACAACAGTTAATTAAATAATGCTTAACAGACCCAAACTAAAGCCTAACCAGAGACATAACTGATCTAGTTAGTCACAGCTTAACTGTTTTCCTTTCTGACGGTGGCAGCCCATTGCCATGCTCGCTCAGGCTGCGATTCACTTCACAGGAAATGACCCCAGGGTTTCTTTGTTTGACCCAGCTTTAATCAGCTGCCTTCTCAGATTCCAACAAATCCCTTCTGCTGATGGCAGCCAGGAATAAAGGCTATTGTACAGTATGGAGAAACAGCGCTACATTTCACAGCAAGTCATGCTAGGCACTTCCTTTCCAAACATTCAATTCCCACAACATTACAGCGTCCAAAAAAGTACAGGGCAGATTATTGGGAGTTTTGTAGATAAAATAATGGCTAGTGAAAAAAAGGGGGGGAGGTATCCCCCAGTCTTTATCCCCTCCACTTCTAACTCAAAATTCAAGAAAGGATTTGAAAAGACTACTCACCATACTGACAGCGAGGTCCCTGGAAACCGGAGGGGCAATGACAGAGCTGAGAAGATCCTTTTATGCAATTTCCACCATTGAAACAAATGCCATAATTGCAGATAGCTGCAAGTTGGAGGCAGAGAAAAATTCTTGAGATCATGATCGTAAGAATATATACACTAAAAATGCCTATTCATTGTGTTAAGTTCCTAAAGTTCCTGTAACAAACTTCCATAGTTATAAAAACACTGTTAAACCATTTTTGAAATGCAACTTTCTTTTGGTTGACAATGCGATATTCTAACAGTACATAGAGTCTTCCAAAATTTAGGACAGAAGGTAAAATATCTTAGCTAATGTCTGCTTAGGTGTTTAAATGGTTTGCACAGGTTTGCAGGATGATATTAACACCTAGTTTTATCAAAATAAATAACACCAGGATCCCATTCCAGATCTCATCTGAAAAGGATTTTATCAAGCATGACCACTTTTCCAATACTCCATCTGGAGCCCTGATTTCCAGCTGAATCAGAAAAAATGTTGCCAGCAGTTGAATCATCAATGTCACCTGCCACATAACCAGCAGATTTTTCTTGAAGGTCTCCCATGTATACCTTCAGCAAACTAGCCTGATTTGCATAAAGCTACTTGTGACACATAAAAGAGAATATATTGCAGTACTGATAACATTAAATACCAGAACTGCGTTACTTACGATGAAGAAGGTGAGGTGCTTCCTCACCTGCTAGGTCAGTTATACAGTAGCAAGACCTCTGACAAGCAGCAGTTACCTGCTGCTTTCAAATTTCAAGGCAAGTCTGGGATCCCCAGTCAGCAAGTACACACATAAAGATTTTAACATTTTCACATTCCTTTTCAAGGACTTCAAATTTACTCTTCAGATTTTGTGCTGTTTCTTCCACAGCAATGGCGCAGCAGTACAAGCGGGAGCCAGGACCTACATTCCTCGCATTCCCTTACTCTTTATTAGGACATTAGTTGCTTCAGTAACTGTTTTAGGGAAAAAAAAATCTTGCTCTTGTCACTTCACACTTGGAAAAAATCACTCAGTCCTTCCAAAGTGATGGCGCAGAATGAAACACTTGTCTTGACTGTGTTAGGTGTGTTGCACTGCATTACGTTCTCACGGTGGACACACAGAGCCAGGAAACAGAAGACTTCTAGTGGAGACAGAACTTACCCAATCAGCAAACTTCTTTGCTCATGTAACTTATGGCAGTTCCCCCAAAAAAGTAAGCTAAACTAAGATGACTTTTTCTACTAAGGCTGCCCTCACTAGGCCGTTTGTCAGTAAAATGATAATAATCCTTTTCTTTATGCTCCTTGCTGAGGGAATAACAGTAGCAAAATTCTGAAGGACAGAGTAAGCCCCTATCAGCACAGTGGAAAAATTAATCTTAATCATCTCACATAGGCATTTAGAAAGTCCATTCACTAATTTTCAGAAATACTTGAACTAAAGGCAGTAACACCTAAGGAACTAAATCTGCAAGGGCTGAACGCTCACATAGACCCATCATCTCTCCTGCATCTGCCATCAGACCATGAGGGTTAGCTTGGTCTACAAGTACTTTTCTTAAAGCATAGCTAACTTAATTATGACAAAACAGTGAGAATTCACACAAAAATATTTACAAAGTCTGAAGGTTGTTTAGAGCCTGTTGCTCCCTCCCTGGAAGTAAGTCCGTCCAGTCAAAGAACCCACTGACCAGAGCCCAGAGCTGATGACGGCAAGCAGCCATCTTCTTTCTCGGCATCACCTAAGCTGCTAACCTGTCCAATGGCCGCTTAGGAAAACACGTTCTTTCCTTAAATTCCATCATGCTGTTTCTGTTGATGTAATATTTGCTCTCCCCATCTGGTCTAAAAACACTCACAGAGGTGCTATATAAAATTAAACAGCTACCACCTCTAGGCCAGTGTTGGCTGGATTTCAGCTGATCTTGAAGTTAATCTGATATCTGTCTCCTACTTACCTAATGAGGGTGTTCTGCAGAATAATTTATGTGTTTAAAGTACTTAGAAACTGTCAGGTGGAAAGCATAGTAAAAATGAAGTGTTATTTCTCACAGTACTATAGTTCTACATGGCAATATCCAGATATAAAGCTAGACTCCTTCTGCGAATCAAGAGAGAAGGCTGCTAGGGAAAGCTGCAACGTGTTCCTTATGTCCTCATTCAATTCAGACTCGAAAGACTTTTGTTCCTGCTTTTTTTTTGAGGGGCATGCTTCCCAGTGCTCACCTGGGCTGTACCCAGGGCTTTTTTGCGGCCTTCTCCTAGCTTGCCTTTAATCCTTTTTTCATGCACAAAACACAAGAATATCAGGCTAAGAGCCCTCTGCATGCAAGTATCTAGAAGGGCCTTTATTTTGGGTAGGGACGTATGCATACTCGAGGTGAACTAAAACTCTGATTCATGTCATCATTTATGTACTGTTGGCATTTCCATGTGAAAACAGCCAGGAGTGGTAACGACAGTATGTTACATGCCTTACTTTCAAAGAGAATCCTCAGCTGTTTGAGAAAGACATTTCATAACAGTGCGCATTTTCCTCCTAGACAACCAGCTTCATCCCCTTACCGTGACACTGCAGACAACTCTCACTTTTATGAAGATGAACCAATATCTTCAAGAAGTGAAATACCTGACTACACACAACTAGTTGACCAGACCAGTAGCAAGATACATATCCCACCTCCCCACCCCGGTCTAATCTGACAACATTTTCTTTCAGTACTGTTCGTTTATCCAGCCCCCCGAATGGAAGTGCTGAGACATCTCCTACACGTTATCCACACATTTCTTCGCTCCCTCTGTGCCTTCACTACCAGAATCTCTAGCTTTGAGGTTCAACTGTGTTTTCATTCCATGCATCTCCAAAACGTGCCACCTGACTGCCGTTTCAGGCCCTAGTTTCAGAGTGATTTCACAACTCCCTCACGGTCCTCTGCTGACACACGGGCAACTCAACGCAGAAAAAAGGCAGCAAGTACGCCACTGAAATGTGTACAGCAAACCTTCAGAGCGCTGCTTTCTTTGATTAAGCGTGTGTTGAATTGGCATTTCTGGGAAAACTAAATAATAAGTAATCTCACATGGACTCTGGAAAGTGTTCTACAACTGATACTTCAACAGGTGATGCACTGAGATTTGGCACTAATAGTAAGTAACATGTCAGTCCCCACAGTAATAGAAGTGGCAGGACTTAAAACTGTCTTAAAAGTAATTTTTTAAAAATCACAACTGAACAACAACAGGTGAGATTTAAAAACCAGTCTCCCTTTAAATCAGTCTCTATTTTAAACAATATTTCATCCTACATCGAAATGTCGTGGGTATCATAGCCATGACACCGACTTGCTCTGGAGGAGTAACTATTCCCTGTTAAGAGTTTGCTCAAGAAACGCATCAATTTTTCCTGCACGTGTTATCTGCAAACAATCAGATACATGCAATTGCTCATTAAATAAAGTCTTCTAGCAAAGGGTTCACATAATTCAACCCGTAGATATGTCCCAAAGAATTCACCAAGACTGCTGTTTTGAGTACTCAGCTTGTTCCCCCGTTTCTTATTGAACAAAATCCTCAAGCAGAAACTCAAGAGCACCAGGTCGAGAAGGGGCTAGACACAAACGCTCTCACTCTGCAGGTAGGCTGACATCACCAGTTTACACTGTCTAGATTTTAAACAGGAAAATTATTCAGCCTTGGCCAAGTAAATAACTTGAACAGGAAACCTAGAGGGGAAAGCTGTATGTTTTCGTCCCAGCCCCTACAGCCATCCATTTCATTCATGGAAAGTCTTGCTGAAAATCACAGTTTAATACAATTAAAAATACATACATATACACTCTTGCAAAACTGTCCTATAGTTGGCTGAATGAAAGACCACTTTCACCAGAAGGGATATTGTCCCCTATCTTAGGGCGAGAAGACAGCCATATAGCTAATTAACCTTCTGTTCAGAGCTCAGATTGTTTCTGTCACTGAGAACCAGAGATTAAATATGCAACTAATTCTCTGGTTCTCCAGCTTGTACTTTAGGAATTCCAAAGGGACTTCCTCATCAATTTTTTGCTTTCCATAAATAAACCCAGCACATTTACTTCTCAGTATCAACATACTTTTGTTAAAAGAGGCATAAATTGCAGAGTTAGTGGTCATACTGCCTAAGCAAACATCAAGAAATCAGTGCGCCTGCAGAGCTGGAATTGCAGGAAGGTGTGGCACGGGCCCAGGAGCGGCTGCCCAGGCTGCGCGCTCCAGCATGCCCCACATACCCACGCAAGGCCAGACCCACGGCCCATGCGCAAAGCAACCCTGAAATTCAGCACAGGCGTAGCACCGCAGGAGGCCCCTGGCACACACACAGCCCTTCAGGCCCGAGTCACTCGACTGCCTTCGTACGGTGGCAGCGTGCTGCTGGGTGCCTTAGCAAATCCCCAGGGATGCCACAAGCCGCAGCTGAAGTCCCTGGGGCACAGGGACAGCGCTCCGTTCTCCCAGCCGCTCCCAAGAGCCGTTCTCCGAGCAGCTCACAGACGTTGCACCGTGGTTTAGAAACGGAAAGGCTAAACAACTGTATTTCCAGCCAGCAAACGGGTAAAACGACTCACACAGGATCATACTGGCTCTTGTAGCAATAATGGAAGCTTATTTATTTTCAAACTGGAGGGCTCTTTAAGGAAAAGAATGCTAGAAACTGCTTTCTACTTCTCCGTTAAGCTTTCCTGGAGAGCTGGCTATCCAAACACTGTGTCCCCTTTTGAATGGATGAGGGAATGAAACAGAGCTAAACTGTAAGTCAGCCTGAGTCGTCACATCTCACTGTGCGCACCAAGTGAAGTGTCAAACGTACACAGAGTCAGAGAATGCTCAGTTACGCTTTTGAAATCCACCTTTTCAAATAATCTAAATAAAAACTATAAACAAGGATTTTTTTCCCCCACAGAAAAAAATATTTTGTATAATTTATGAAGTGCAAAAAATATTTTATACTTCCCACTAGGAAATACTTATCTCAAAAAGAGAAATGTTTTCAATAAATTATGTTGTAATGTGTGCAGTACTTTGTCAAAATGTAAGAAAGCTGGACAAGT